GATCAAATTTAACCTGCTCCTTTCAAAAGAACGCCTTCTCAGTCACTCATCGGGCTATATACCCGTACCCTTTTACCCCACCCTCCTCTTTTGTCTCTTCCCGATCTTTACCGCCTTCGATTTCTTTGATCCAACCACCAGACCCCAAATGGTGTGCCATTGCGTAGTTAGCGGCACTCAGTCCACAACCCGAGAAAGATTGTCCGCGTGCTGCATGTCTGCAACGGCCAATGTCCCCGACACCACTTACATTTCAGGCGTACCAACTCTTACTTTGGTAAACATATAAGGTTATATGCATCGTCAGTAGGAAGGCTGGACTACCAGCCGAAGCTCGCAGATCTGCCTAGTCATTCATAGCCTTGTCTTCTAGGCATCGTCTTATCTCGTCAATAAAGCACCTAAGCTGTATCGCGCTCATCAAAATCAAAAAAATTGGGATCAGAAGCGTAGCGTAAGTATCCCCCAAGAGTGTGGTTTGCACTTTCCAGACAACACTTTAGACGCATCATGACCGCACATCCCAAGCATTTTTGTCAGGCAAACCTCGCCTCCGACCCCCCATCCTCTACCGTACTGTGTGCGGTACCAAGCATTTCTGCGCTGCCGCAGGCGCTTCGCATTCGAATCGCATCACTTGTGCGGGTCCGACACTGTCACACTTGGCGGCAATTTGCGCTCGCCTTCTCGACTTCTTCCTTGTCCCAGCCACGCCAGCCCGTCGGGAGAATGGGATTTCGTATGGGAGAGAACTCGATCATTCGTGTCCCCTCTTTCCTCACCATCGGGTCCCTAGGGTGTCACACGAGACGTTCGGTTGCCTCAGCCCAGAGCTTCGAGCCCGACATTTGACAAAGAGGAAGCCCCTTCACGTTCCACCTACGTATTGTATCGCACTTGCAACTTGCAGCACGACACCCCGTTCCGCGCCTATTGGGCGCGACATACTGAACCCGGCAGCCACAGGCCATCCAACCCCGCCGATGAGAAGTCGTTGAGTTCGGCCCCGCAACAATGCGGAGTATTAGTATATTGTCTGACCACTTCCCGGCTGTGCACTTGAGACAACCGGCCTTCAGTCTCGAAATCTCGGGGCGACGGCAGCTAGTGACGACCGACGTCAAAAATTCCAGAATAGTTTCGCCCAAATTCTCAGAAAATGAGCCGAAGGTATTCGCCAACTTGGCAGCTTTGCTGTGCTCCTCGAGAGGTCGCTGTGCACCAAAAGTGCACCAGAGTCAGGCGTGAAATAGCGCTGCGCGCGCCGAGAGGTGTCATCTGCTCCTCGATGCGTAACTGATTACCTTGCTGAACAACAGGAAATGAGAGTACAGTCAGGAATGCTACCACTTGATGGGATCTCGTCCGGATCCTCGACCATGCACAGCCTCATATTTTGCGGGCTCTATCCCCACAACTTCATACTCCAAGGTTAGTCGCCTTCCCTTGGTGGCAACTGGCAACGACGAAATTTGGTGTCCCTTGGCGGCGACGTCCTCCCTCGCACGCTAGGACCTTAAAGTCAAGAAACAACACCTCACCAGCGTCTGGGCGTCCTACGTCATGATTCTGACAGCTCAGCCTTCCAGCTGCCACGAGTTCGTGGGCTACGACGCCTGCAGGAAATCAACTTTATGCCGGACCTTTCTACTACGCTACGACAAAATCCCGCAACCTCGCTAAATTATCGACCTGCGTGGCTCGCTGCATCATGGGATACTGTACCGTAAGGACCCTGCACTAAGCGCCAGGCCGCATCAGATATATACCAGCCAGCTACGGCTCGGCATCGTCGCCAAACTGCAATGGAGGGGTAAGTTATCGCCAACGACGTCTCAGGAATTTCTGATCATGCGTCCACTCAATGCCAGTCTCCGTAACCAGGAGCCAATGGGCTGCGCGCGCTTCTGAAGCCCTTCGTCCCATTGGGAGCGCTTTTCTACATGACCGAGCACTACATGCGTACCGCGCACACCCACGACATCCTTCTTCTTCAAGCTTTCGGCGCCCGCGGAATATAACCATCACTTTCCGGCGAATATCTCGGCGCAATATACATTCACTGGGCATCCGTCCGGCAATGCCCTTTCCGGCAGTCGAAGCTCCTCGGCCAAGCTCGCCGAAAGTGCAGCCTGGGGCAACAAACATGACCAGGATGCTACACAGCCTCCTCTCGCGAAAATCCTCATTCCGCGTCCCATACGCTGTACTCTCTCGGTCGTAACATCCCCGGGCAAGTGTGGGGTTCGGTATCTAGCCGCCCTTTCCCGCGGCACATCCCAAGTTCAGCGATCAACCCCGCGCAAAATCTCCGGCGTCCCAAAGCGGCCGGTACGGCAGCCGCATCGCTCCTAGCGGCAGGTGTGCTCGCTTCCCGGCTCTCCGGTCTCAACCTGATCGTGTCGGCACTACTTCACCCGCGCCACGAACCAACAAATCTGGAATCTGCCACAGGGTTGACGTCTCTCGTCGCAGAAACCATCAGAGCCTCTGGCGACGACTATTGGCGCACTCGGGCACCAGCCGCTTGGCTCGCCCCCGTACATCAGCCTGCGCCACGCTTGGACGCGGCAGATCCGCACCCCACGTCCAGACCGTTGACGATCGTTTCAGTGGACCCTTGCGTGCGGGGCGGTGCAGTTATACATCGCTTGTTGGATACCACCTTAAAGTTCTGATGCCGCGCGGCTTGTAGGGCGAGGCGGACATGTTCCGGTGGCCTATCTCTCCTTCGTAATGCCAACTGTACTATCGAACACCAGACGCCCCGGCCCGAGTGTAGACGTGGCGCTGCTGCCATCTGATCGGGAAACGCCTGCTGTCCTGCGCAGCGTGAGGCGTTATGGGATTGATGACGAGGAGATTGGTGGGTGGGACATCCTGCCGTATGCGCATATGAGGCCGCTGGTGCTTTGCACAAAAAGGCGCCCTCCGCATATAACTAGGTAACTTGGAGCAGGGCACACATAGGGCCGCAGCCTTGCGTGCGCCCATTGGGGGCGGCATACACCCGTACATCCGTAAACTAAAGTGGCATAGTCTGGTTCCCCCGCAGCGTCTGCCGGTCACGGTATGCACATAGTCAGGTCTGGATGGTTGGATTTACGCCGAAGGTACCGTATGTGAGTAGATATTTGTGGCGCATTCGCGCGTTGGCGCCGGGTTGCCTTCAGCCTGGCCGAGGTTGCCTTGCAAGGCTGAGGGTGATGTTGCACTGTGCGGACTTTATCTCGAACGCCCTTGCTCCACCGTAAGGCTGAGTCGGAGAGTCAGCAGAAGTGAACGCCGCTGGAGACTGTAGCTACGTGCTTCGGTTGCGACGTCGCGATATCAGTTTGCCGCCAGAGAGACGAAGAGTCAGAACCAGCAGAGCCTGAATTCGCACCCAAGTAGCGCGCCGGAAGAAGTCGCTGCCATCCTCAGCCGCTACTTTGGGTGCGGGGCGGCAATAACTTATTTCTTACCCCTGTCGATCCCCGAAGGAGGCTGGCGCCACGCCACCCGCCCGCCACAACCAACCTCAGCCTCGGGGGCGCACGTCGCGTTGCGACCTGGAAGTGGCTTCGTTGGACAACAACTCTTCATAGCTTCACCAACCGCTCTTCTGGAGTTGGATTCTTCACAACAATAGGTTGCGTTGTTGTGCGCGCTTAGAGAACAACACATATTTCCCTGCCACTTTGTCGCACAACGTCATCCCTTGTCATGACGTCCCAGCCCCACAACCCAGCCACTAGGGGTTATATGGGCAGTTACGCGCGGCGGATGGGGGGCAATTGACCTCGATACTGCTGTTTCTCGACTTCGATACTCCTGTTCCTCTACACATTGCTTCAAAATGTACTTCCAGCACAGCATCCTCCTCGCCACCCTCCTCACCCTCGCCCCCGCCCTCCCCCTCACCCACACGACCCGCGCTGGCGCGCCCCTCCCAAAACCCATAACAAACTGCACCACAGCCGCCCTCCTTCTCCCCGCGCCCTTCCGGCCCACAGCAGTGACCCTCAGCACCCTCCTCTACGCATACTACCTCCCGCCATCGGACCCGCGCGTCGTAAACGGAACGAGCGACTCCCTCTTCGATGCCTGTCTCCAGACATGTGCGGGGTACGGCCTGCCCGGCGACTGCGCCAGCGTCTTCCAGGCGGGCGATGTGCCTGCACCGCCGCGGTTTGGGAGTCCCGGGGGGTGGGCGAGTGTGGCGTGCGAGCTTTATGGGACCCAGTTGGCGGAGGCGGATCTTGAGGATCTGCCGGAGGGAGAAGGGTGGACGGAGGCCAGGGCGGCGGAATTGGAGTGTTGAGGGGGTGCCATTGTGATGGATATGGGTGTTTGGGGTTCTCTTGGAGGTTGTCTGCGTGTGGACGACTCTACTTTATGCGATGAGGACTGGCGCGCGTGGTCGTCGGGATTCTTCTGACTTTGGCAAGTTGGTAGTGCATGCGATGCGCCGCTCAACAACCTCTGCATTCGGCTTAAGAGGCGGGACGAGTTCCAGAGGGATACCGGCGCGACATCACCCAAAAGTTTCCAGGCGCCCCTTCTCTATTTGACGAACCGATTGCCAACCGCGACTTTCCCAATCACCCGAGAACATGGTCCCGCAACTACACGACGACTCTCTATCTGGCCGACGAGCAACGAAACGGCACCGGGTATTCCCTGGGATTGTTGCCCTTTCCGGTCCTACCATGCTCTGGTGTTTGTATTCGAACGAGGGACTGGGACGTAGAACTGGTGTTCATGATGTATCTTGTACAACTGTATGGAGTTGCTACTTTTGGCTTGAGGAATCAGTTCCAGAAGCTGGACTGGCGGTAGAAGGAGCTGGACCAGTGATCCTTTGTATTGGAGTAGCATCTCGGAACTTTGATACCCGTTTACGAATATATGATCTGAAGAAGAGCATCGGCATAATGTGTGCAATGACATCGAAGTTCCCATCCCGTCTCAAGCCGGACGTGTGTCCCAGCCATGAAATTTCATCCATAAATTCCTCTTCCTCCGTGGCGCAATTGGCTAGCGCGTCTGACTGTTATCTCTTCTCGAGAAATGCGATCAGGAGGTTCCTGGTTCAAGCCCAGGCGGGGGAGGTTTCTTTTTGCTCTCTTTGGGGGCATGGGAAGGAACGTTGCCATGGTGGAGATTTTTTTGGTGGGTCGAGGTGGGGGTGATGCGGGCTAGCGGAGGTGGGTTGAGTAAAGGAAGGGACGATCGAGCCTTGGATAGAGACGGGGGAGTCAGTGCTAAGGGTTGTTAGAGATGCAACGTAGTAGGTTTTCCTCCAGCGTAGATCTCAAGTAAGATATTTTTATGCCCTTTCATCCGATGAAATCTCCAAGTTGTATGACCTGTGTCTGGCCCGGAACTTCACTTCCAGCCGGAACAAGTCCCGGAAGCAGCCAGGCCAGAGAACACCATGGCCTACGAGCTCTTTCGATCTCTACGCCCTACGACATCATCTGTGCAGAAGCAATGTGAGCCGACGAATTCCATTGCTATTTGAGCACTACGTCATCTTTCCCCGCTAATCCATGACACGCCCGCCATTACCCTCGCCCACACATTTCAAGTAGCCCTGCCGCGACCATCCCGGAGCTGCCGCCGCTGCCGCAATGCCGCACTGCAGTACCGCAACATCAGTAAGCAGACCCCTCCCCGCACCGGAGCACAGATCAACATAGCTCCACGACATCATCGTGGGGGTTCTAGACTCTATCAACAGATGGAGCGTAAGTAAGCCTTGCGGGGCATTTCCGCGGAAATTTTAGGGCGTCTGAGTGGAAGTTGGCCGAGATATATAGACGAGGCTTCAGCCTTCCAAAACGGCACCAATTCGATAATTTTATTTTCGATTCCGTCAATACGATAACATCCGCTTTTCACTCGACTCCCCTCGCAATGTCCAACGCCGATCAACTCCCCTACGGCTGGTCCGCCGTCCCGGTCTCTCTCAAGGCCTTCCTGTCCACCACATCCGCGAAGTCCACCGCGCCCTTCGCCGCCTCCTCCGCCCCGGAACCCACCAGCGAGCTCAGCACCACCATTCGGTCTTTCGCCCAAAAGGAGCTGCCGGAACAAGTCTTCAACCACAGCCTGCGCGTATACACCTATGGCATCGCACTAGTAACGCAGCACCTGTCGCACCTGCTGACGCCCACTTTCGCCGAAACCCTCTACCTAACCTGCTTGCTCCATGACCTGGGGTGCACGCCGAAGAACCTGCGCGCCACGAAGATGAGCTTCGAGTGGTGGGGTGCGTTGGAGGGCCTGCGCGAGCTACGCGACGTGGGCGCGGAGAAGGATCAGGCCGAGGGCGTGTTTGAAGCCATTGTGCGGCATCAGGATTTGGGTGAGACGGGGAATATTACGGCGCTGGGGGCGGTGTTGCAGGTTGTTACGATTTTTGGTGGGTGATGCTGAATTTACTTCAAATTTTTTTGAGGGATTTTGGTACTAACTGGGACCAGACAATGTGGGCCATTTTGCGGAGCTCTTCGCGAAGGAGACGATCGAGAGCGTGACGAGTGCGCATCCGCGCAAGGGGTGGTCGGGATGCTTCTCGGAGACGATTAAGCAGGAGATTGGCAGCAAGCCCTGGTGCCATAGCACGCATATCGAGAACTTCGCGGAGGATGTCGCGGGGAACAAGCTCATGCAGCCGTATGACTAGGCGCTGTTTTCTTCGTCCGCAGGCTGCGATCTGCCGAGGAGGGGGAGCTTGATGGGGAGTGCGAGGGCGGTGGTGATGGCGAAGAAGATAATCGCGGAGAGGAAGGTTATGCGCAGCGCGGCGGAGTAGGCGGTCATAGCTGGGAAGTCAGATGCGTGTTAATGTAATGGATCTCGCCCATACCTTCGTGCTGATGCAGGGGATCCAGATCCTGGATCGCCCGGACGGCTTTGCGGATACGGTTGATTGTCTAGTCGTAAGCCTGAGTTCAAAAATCGAAGCAGGACCTACCTCAGCCTTGTCCGCCCCTGTGATATACTTGTTCAGATACACGACAAGCGAATTCTGCACAATAAGACTGCTAACCGCAACCCCCATCACCGTTCCCAGATTCCGCCACAGCGACAGCGTGCTCGTCATCACCGCCTGGTCCGCCTGACTGCTAACCGCCAGCACCGCAACCGAGCAGACAGGGAACATGAGTCCCTGCCCGAGGCTCGGCGGGATCACGAACGCAGTCGCAAGCCACATCGGGATACCGTCCCACATGGCGGCCAGACAGGACGCACCGATAATCATGCTCAGCGAGCCCGCGACAATGGGGCCATACATGCGGCCCGTGCGCGTCATGAAGAACCCGACACCGACGGCGCACACGGTGAGCGACGCGCTGGGCAGTGCGAGACGGAACCCGGACATAGACGCGGAGTCCAGTTTCACGGCCTGGAAGTAGAGCGGCGCGTTGAAGATGACGGTGTTGATTCCTATCATGGCGAAGAAATTGGAGAAGACGAGGTTGGCTCGTGGGGATTGCGAGAGCATGGCGAGGGGCATGACGGGGCGGGGAGCACGGGACTCGACGCGGATGAGGAGGAGGCCCGCGAGAACGGAGACGATGAGCGAAATGATGATGATGGGATGTTGCCAGGGAAAGATGTTTCCGCCCAGGTTGAGGCCGAGAATCAACGCTGCCGCACTGGTGGTTAGCAGGAGGGAACCAGTGATATCGAACCCCTTGAGCACCTGCCCAAAACTCTGGTTCGAGTGCTTCGCCAGGTTCGGGCCCAGGTCGTGGGGCGTCGTGATGAAGGCGGCGATGAGAATGAGCACGATGGGCGGGATCTGGATGCCGAAGGTCCAGCGCCAGCCGATGGTATCGCAGAGGTAGCCGCCAAAAGCGGCGCCACATGAGGAGCCTAAGCCGAAGAAGATGTTGATGTAGGATTGGTAAGTGCCGCGGACTTCGATTCGCACGAGGTCGTTGGTTATGATACTAGCCTACTAGTATTAATTGAGGGGTCTTGCGTTGTTGAGATGCCTACCATGGTCATCACGCCGCCGGCACCGAGTCCGCAGAATGCTCGGGCTGCGATGAAGCTCCCCATGCTCTGAGCTAAGGCACACCAGGCCGTCGTAGCTATGAACATGGTAAGTGCAAAGATGTACAGCGGACGCCGTCCAACCATGTCCGAGACGCGCGCAAAGAGCGGCTGAAACGCCGTCGAGGTCAACATGAAGGCGGTTGATAACCATGACGCCGAATTCGAAGAATGAAAATAGGACGTTATCACAGGGTGGGCGGATGCCATGAGCGTGCTGTCAAAGGTGGTCACAAAGTACTGCAACAGCATTGGCGCGTATATCATCCAGAATTGTCTTTTCGTGTAGTCGCCCAGAAAGTGGGAGGGATTCTCGGAGTCGTCCTCATGTTCGCCTGGTGAGATGCTGGGTTCCTCTGGAGCATCTGGGACAAGCCAATGGCTGGGGGTAGATACAGAAAGCCGTCGCTCGATAGAACCATGGTGATGACTTTCGGGATGCGAATGCGCGTGAAGAAGGGGTGTTCGTTCATCGGAGCCATGGGCTGGTACACGCGAATCTGAACCGGATTTGGCCATTTTGCTTGGTGGTACAGGAGACTCCGCCGCTGCTTCCGTACTGCTGAAGTGATTTCGAAGCAAAGAAAAGCCTGGGGTGCTGGTTGAACCAAGTGTCTATACGTAGTATTTGCAGTGAACTTTCCAACCCAAGATCTCAAAGAATGTCTAGTAGATGTATATAGCAAGCACGAGGCGCAAAACGTAGAGGCGGACAATCGTCCGAAGGGCGTGTTTGTATTTCTCAGCTTTGTTGTTACAAAAGGGCGCGGTCCCCGCTGTCGTCGGGGCCTAAGCGGTAAGAGTTGACGAATGTCATGCCGCTCCCGGACTAGTTCTAGTGGAGGGAGGTGGGGGGGGATCGGCTCCGGCGAGGGCATCCAAAGATGTGATTCGATAAACGGCAGACCTCATTGACCGGTGATGTCGAGCGCTTCTACGCTTGACATCTGTAAGGGACCATCCCACGGCAGGACTGTTCTTTTCAAGGCTTGTTCAAGCTCGCTGGAATAAGCGCGCTAGGAAATTAGTCGCCATGTGCCTTTCGGCATTGTTCACTCCTCATTCATTGGGAGGGCACTACAGGTCATCAATCCATTTCCGTCCTGCTGTTAGCCCTGTTGCAACTTCCAAACCTTGTCGTGTCCGTCTTGCGTCATCTACCAGTCCATCGATAAGAGATAAACCACCGGTCTCGGAGCTGCAGTCTGCACTACAGTAGGATAGCAATTGGCTTCTCAAGAGGGTGGCAATTTGAACACCTGCTACTACTGTGGCGATACGTGGGACCTCACCAAAGCCATGAAGCTACCGCTCCGCATTGCCATTCTCGAATGCGACACGCCGTTGACCAACACCAAGGCCAAATTCGGAGGGTATGGAGGTGTCTTCAAGCAGCTGCTTGAGCGCGCGGCCGAAACACTTAAGCAACCAGGGTTGAGTGCCACTGAGGGCTTAGAGCTCAGCTTCTACGACGTTGTGCAGTCAAAGAGTTACCCAGCATTGGACGACATCGACGCCATCCTCATTACCGGGTCCAGTATGCAACATGTGAAGTGCGCCTAGTATGAAGTGCAGAACTGACTAGGGGACAGAGCACAGTGCGTACCTTGACGACCCGTGGATCCTCGACCTCGTGGAGTTTGTCAAGACCACCTTGCATCAAGAGCGCGTGCGGATTATTGGCGTGTGTTTTGGACATCAAATTGTCGGGCGGGCTTTAGGCCAGCGTGTGTACCTTGGAGATGCTGGATGGGAGGTCTCGGTGACACCTATCGAGCTGAGCGAAGCGGGAAAAGCGCTATTTCAACGACCCGAACTGGTACGACACAGTCCCTCGATCTCACGCTCAATAGTTTCCTGCAGCTAACGCCTTAGCAGAGTTTGTACCAAATGCACCGCGACATTGTGTACGGATGTCCCAGCGGAGTAGAGCAGCTGGGCTCGACGGATGGCTGTAGCAACCAGGGCATGTACCAAAAGGACCGGCTGATCACGGTGCAAGGACACCCGGAGTTCACCAAGGAGATTGAAGAAGAGATTC